TTTTGGGAGCAATATCTGTTTCTTCCACTTCCTCCAAAAAATTAAATCTCCCTTGTGTATCTCGAGTAATAGAAATCTACTTTGCATCTTTGTCCAAAATTAGACCAAGAGCTTTTGCTTGACTACGAGTCATTTTTGCATCCGTCTTGCCAAAAAATTGACCCTCACCGAGGTTTAAAAAATGATGATTACCCACCGAGGATAATTTTCCAAAATTCAATGTAAATGGCTCACCCCGTTTTGTTGCTTATTTTATTTTGAATAAAATAAATAAATAACCACCACGACGCCGATTGGCTTACTTTCATTACAAAGAGCGCTAAGTAATAAACAAAATATACTTTAACTCAATAAAAGAAAGTGTCCACTTGATTTAAATCAAAGTCACCAAAAAACATGAATATTTTAATTAAATAAATTAATTTATTTTCCTTTAATAAAAATATATGTACGAATGAATTTGGGGAGATTGAAAGTTTATTTATATTCGGAAAGGTCACAAAGAAAAGGGGGATGCATAAAATAAAATGCCAAAAACAAAAAAATAAATTTAAATGAATTTAATTAAAATGCAACACAAATTCTTAATTTTGCGTTCCTGCGATTTGCTTTGATTTTTGGCCTGTCGTTGCGTTTTTAGAAATTCCTTCTTGCGAACCGCCCATGCACCGGTCTGCGATATAGTGTGTTATCCTAACGGTAACTAATTTTTTATCTAAAAATACGCTGTGTAAAAAAATTAATTTTAGCGTTATTATTTAAACATGGAATCAATTGTTGAAAAAGAATTAAATACAAAAACACCGTCATATATTTTAGCTGTAAATGAGGCTATTGAAGAAATTAAGCTAAATAATAAAATTAAGACAAAAAATTTAAAAAATAAAGAAGAAATAATTAAAAATAAAATATCAAATATCAAAGAAATTGTTTGGAGAAAAATTACACGAGGTGATTCTGTTTATAAAAATTGTGAGTCAAGAAGGAAAATGCATGAAGATAGGCTTGTCGAATTTATGATAAATAAAAATAGTACACTCAAAGAAGATCTGTTAGAACATTCAATTAAAGCTACTACAAGTAATTATTTTGGTTCTACTTGACTTTATGAGTCCAAACAAATTTTATAAATCCGACATGTCTTATTATTCTAAGTAAAAATTGTGGCCCTACTACGGTTTATGATTCCAATCACAGCGTATGAGTCCAATCGGATTTTTGTGAGCTACGAAGGTAGGTCGTCAGATCAAAGCTGGTGATGAAAAAACGGATAGGTTTATGTTGCCGACCCAGAACCCAGCGACCGTTGACTCTCGTGAGGCGCGTGCCGCAAAACCCCCCGCGAAGCGCGGGGTTTTGCTCAAGCGCCTCGCCTATGTGCAAAAGGTCTAACAACATAATCCTATTCATTTTTAATCGTGTCCGGTAGTCTCGTCAGAGGTTACCCTATAGAGTTATATGAATTGTCGAGTCGATATTTATTTAATATTTGTTAAAATGGCACTAAACTCTCAACAACTATGGTATCATCTTTAAATCACTTCGTTTAAAGAAGATTCATTTAAAGATGATTTTTGAAACGCAGTGTATATCACATTACCCCCTTTCCGATTATAATTAAAAAAACGTTCTTAAAGTTGATGAGCTTCGTGAACTCACTGGCTGCTCGAAAAAATCATTTTATGAAAAAATTGAGGAAAGAAAAAATGAAAAATTAAAAAAAGAGAATGAAAATATTGAGGAAGAATCAATAACTAATACAAATTTAAATGAATCTGATAAGCTTTTTGATGTAAAGGATGAAGAAGCTATCGAAATAGAAGTAGAAAATGAAAATATTGAAGAAAAATTGAGTAAATCTGATCAAATTGTTGAAGAAAATAAATTTAATGAAGAACAGACAATGGTATTAAATAATGACTTGGACGAATCTTTAAATAATTCTAATGAAATTATTGAAATAAATGAAGAAAATTATAATGAATTGGATAAATTGGATGAAGATAAATTAAAAGAAATTAAATATAAAAAAGAACAATTAATTGAACAAAAAACTAAAATTAATGAACAAGAAAAAATAATTTTTAATCAATTGGATCATGATATAATTGCTCATATAAATTTAAATGGTAATTGAAAAATAGGGTTGTTCCCCGTCCCCGAAAGTAGGGAACTTTGAAGATTGCCTAATAATTTGCCTAATAATTAAAATTCAACTCTGGACTGTGGATCTTGGAGTAACGTGGCATTATAATATGGATCGCCACTTGCTTATATCTGAAATTTATATTGGTTGTCTTTAAAAAACTATATCCAAGTAGATCTCGTAAAGGCGATTATAATTCCAACAAGAAAACACATAAAGTTATCCCACCTAAACATTATCTGTAAATCCAACATTAATAATTTAATTTCTAAATTTAACAGATTTATTTGAATTGAGTCAACTAAAATCAACTGAATTAACAACCAAATTCAAAAATTATTTATCAGAATTATATTCAATTTTAATGCAGAAACCTCAGAAGGATAAATTATTTAATCAAATGTTATTATTTATTAATATTTGTTTAATGACTAAATTGATTGAAGAAAAATTGGAAATTAAAAAAATATTATTAAATAAAAATTTAATTGAAAAAAGAAAGAAAAATGACGATTTAATTAAATTTAAAAAGTTAAAAGTTGATTGGACAAAATTAAAAAAAATAAAATTCATTAAAAATTATAATTATGTTGATGATAAAAAAGAAATTTTTGAAAATATTTTAAATGAATTAATTAAATTTTATAATAATTTAATTATTTTTGAGGAAGAAATCATTTCAATTGAAAATTTTGGGTACTTTATTTGCTTAAATTTTATCTCATCTTTCTTTAAATTGTCTACCTAAGGAATATTAATGAAACTCTGGACGGATTTCGTATACCTTCTGGGTTTGAGTTATTAACCTCTGGGTTAAAAGACTTTTTTTGTTTTTTCGGTCTTGGTTTTGTTCAACTTAAAACACTTAACTGAATAAATATTTTTAAATTTTTAGTCAAATCCATTTACACATATATTCTTTATTAATATCAAAGAATACAAAAATAGATGAAAATGAAGGAATTATTAATATTCCTTCTAAAAATTTAACAAATTTTGAAAATTTTGTTAAAAATGATGGAGAAATAAAAGAATTATTTTTTGAAAGAATTTATTCAATTATTAAGGAAAATAATGAAGAAAATAAATTATTATTTATAAATAATTATAATGAAGTATTTATACAAATTATTGTTAAAAGCATTAAAGATGTTAAGAAAATGTTTGATCAGCAATTGATGGGTATTTAATTTAATTTATAAATTCAAGATAAACTTAATAAATTAAATTACCTACCAAACCGATTATTTTTGAGCTTTTATAGAGGAAACTTATTGCTATATACATATGTATTAGTGAATAAGTTAGTGGGACTTCAGTGGGATAGTAATATAACAATAAGTTTAAGAATTAGCATGATTAGACAATACTAGCGAGCTTAGATCCTGAATTCAACGACTACACGGATAGACTCAGACTTTTTTGAGAGGGCCAATTCTTGAGCGAGCCTATGATTTGTTAAGGGATATATATTTGTGAAAAATTCGTATTCATAAATTTAGATGATAATTTATATAAAGAAATGGAATTATCTATACAATCGGAAGAATTAAAGAATAAATACAAAAATGAAAAATCGGGTTTTCGAGGAAAGTTTTATGAAATTAGCCAATTAATTTATTTGAATAAAAGAACTGAAACAAGTTTAGAAATTAAGGTATTCAAATTAAACTTAATTTTTTAAATTAAAAAATTAAGTTAAAAGAATATTTGGATAATATTTACAAAATTAGTCAAAAAGAAATAAAAGAAAGAGAAATGACAGAAGCTTGGATTGAAAAACATATTGAAGAATGGCTTAAAAATATTTGTAAAAGATCGGGAAATAAATATGGAGGTATATAAAGAACAATACGATTGTTGGACCCGTAATCTATGAACGGGGGTTTATTGCTCACAATCCAACTGACTTCCAATGCCTTCATTGGCCGTTTATAATTCCCACGAAAAAATAAATAAAATAAAACTAAAAACAGATTGTTATCAATATCTCGAAAAATATGATCTCGATAGTACACGATAGTACATACACTTTGGGATAAAATTAGAATCATTATAATTTAGTTTTTCCTTAAGTTTTTCTAATGTTTCTCACTTACTGATGCTTATTTCCTTTTACATTTTTTACCAAACTGATATATTTTACAATAATTGAAATCAAAATATATTTTAGGATATTCAAAAATAATTGCTGGATCTAATCTTTATGGTATTCATACATCCTCATCAGATTTGGATATAATTTTTATTATTCCAAAATATTGTTTAATTCCTAAATCAATTAAATGCCCAAAATGTAAAAAAGAAATAAATTCCATAAATTCTCGAATGTGTAAAGACCATGATTTAATTTTTGGAAATAGTCGCGATTCTTTATACAAAATGTTATACAAAGTATTTGTTGATGATCTTGAAAAGAAATTTTCAAGGGTAGATACTTCATTATCTGTTGTTATTTATGATATTATAATTAATTACATAAAACTTCTCGAGAGTGCTTATTAAGAATTTAACACATGTCCCAGAAAATAATAAAAGAGTGTTGATATTACTCATATTTAACCTCTCAAACATGCCAACACTTGATCTGATTTTTGTTTTAACAACTACATAGGTTACAAATACATATGAGGCTTAAATTTATACGTATAGCATGCGTATAGCATCTAACCTTGACATAAAACCCTGATTATTTGTTGTCAAAGAATCTGATTTGTTTAAGTAATAATTTGCGGTTTGTAGATAAAACGATTATTTAGCTAGCCTAATAATTCAATTTACAATAAATATTCAGCTAAATCCAATTGCCAATACAACAGTACCTCTTTTTGATATCAACTTTAATGGAATTGATATGGATATAATGATTGCCCCGATTGCAAGAGATGAAGTTTCTGATAATTGGAATTTTAATTTAAATAGTGATGAAAATTTAATTAATAAAAATTCAGAATTAATTGATAAATTAATTAATGAAATGTTAATTGATGGAAATAAATTATTTACTAAAAGTATTGTTATGTTAACAGGTGAAAAATAAATTTTTATAAAAAATTTAATCAATTAATTATTAGGTTATCGAGCAGCTTTTAGGCAAATGTTTGTTTTGTTGGATAAATCCAAAAGAGAAATTTTCAAGGATTTACTAAAAGCTATTAAGCATTGGGCAAAGCGTATGTTTTATTATATATTGTCAAAATCATCTCCCCGATCCGGATTCTGTTCAGGATCCAGACCGGCCCAGCTGGATTTTTCTCGATAGACTCGTCTGGAATTAATCCGAGATTGTAAAAAACTCGGATTAGGTCCTAGGCTTCAGAAAAATTCACCTGGTTCAGGTATCGAAAGCAGAACAAATATTGTAGTTTATGCTGATCGGTATGAAAATACTAGCTTTTGATAACTAATCCGTAATTGACTAGCCTCGACGGATTAGTCACTGTTGTATTCCGAAGTTTGAATATTAAGTAGCAGAAATAATTAGTTGTTAGCAATAAGAATGTTTTATCTTAATTTAAAAGTTGTTTACGAAAGCTCGACGGCTTTGTCAATCGATGACATGATTGAATCTTATTAACAAGTGATGACACGATTGTATGTCGAAGAGAGTTGGGTTAGTCCGGATCCCAAAGTATAATCCAGGGATTTTCTCCGGTTGATACTCCCCTATTACACACCTTAGTATGTCGAAATATACTTAATGGATTTATTTATTAGATAAATCTAATAACAAAAAAATTATTTATTAAAAATAAAATTAATTGAAATTGAAGAATAATGAACATAAAATCGGTTAAACAATTTTTTAATATATTTAATAGCGGCTTAGGGGTTGGGCAGTCATATTTTTTCTTCTGTCCAATAGTCTAGGAAAAGTAGCTTGGCTTTGTTGGCGATCGTTATCTTCCTAGCCTGCAAAACTATTTTTCTTACTGTTCCAAGGTTATTATGATTTTTGGCATTCTTTCGCAGTCGTTAAATAAATCAAAAATATTTTTTTAATTTTATAAATTTTAAAGAAAAACAAATATATTCAAACATGTTTGGCTATTTGAGTGGAACCATTTTATCAATAATGGCAAACAAAATATGTTTATTATATCCTTCTGGATCCCTCTCATTTTTATTCCACAAATTCTTTGTTATTTTTTCAAAATGGTTAGAGAACTTTATTATTAAATTAAATTAATTTTTAAGGGATTGGCCTAAACCTTTATTATTAGAACCTTTAAGCACAAAAGAAGATTTAGAAAAATTGGGAAGAATAAAATTACATTTAAATTCATGGCAGATTAAAGATATTGAAATAGAAGGAAATTTAATGCCTGTTATTTCCACAAAATATCCAGAATTAAATTCGGCTAAAAATATTAATGAAAATGGATTAAAGATCATAATTAAGGAAATGAATAAATGTATAAATAAATATATTTAATATTAGTTTCAATAATTCAAATTTTTCCTCGAGCTCAGGTCTTAAGTAACTAGACCCATCCCTGCCTCTTCGAAAGGAAAGCTCATAAGATTTCTCAATTTACGTGTATTTCAAAAATAACCCTCCCAATCGTTAAGTGAAAGGCAGATCGGTTTTTATATCAGGTCAACAGAGATAAATATAGGAACAATGTGAAAAGGCTCCTTTACTACACTAGAAAATTTATTAAAATATTTTTTAATTAATTTATAGCTCTTCAACAATTTAACTATCTAAATAGTAACTAGCGATGGGTTTGGCCACTGGGGTGCCTATTACGATACTGTGGCGGTAAAATACACCGGGGGGTTCTTTAAATTACGAAACTTCTGCCCGTTGGAAAGCCTAACGGCTTTGGGGGCGCGCTTCGCGCGCCGCTAGCGATTTTTTATGCCTGGAACAAAAGATTGCCTTCATTGGGACTCATCCTTCGACTTAGAGTCACTTCGGGCCTTCGGCCCTCGTCTTCACCTCAATTGGACTCATCCTTCCACTTAGAGTCACTTCGGGTCTTCGGCCCTCGTCTACCCCTCGATTGGACTCATCCTTCCACTTTGAGTCACTTCGGGCCTTCGGCCCTCGTGTTCCCTCTGTTTGGACTCATCCTTTCACTTAGAGTCACTTCGGGCCTTCGGCCCTCGCCCTCTCCCTTCCTTTTAGATGTGTGTCAGCTCGGGCCTTCGGCCCTCGCCCTCCCTTTTAGATGGTTGTCAGCTCGGGCCTTCGGCCCTCGCCCTCTTTTTTAGATGGGTGTCAGCTCGGGCCTTCGGCCCTCGCCCTTCCATTTAGATGTGTGTCAGCTCGGGCCTTCGGCCCTCGCCCTCCCTTTTAGATGGGTGTCAGCTCGGGCCTTCGGCCCTCGCCCTTCCTTTTAGATGGGTGTCAGCTCGGGCCTTCGGCCCTCGCCCTCCCTTTTAGATGGGTGTCAGCTCGGGCCTTCGGCCCTCGCCCTCCCTTTTAGATGGGTGTCAGCTCGGGCCTTCGGCCCTCGCCCTCCCTTTTAGATGGTTGTCAGCTCGGGCCTTCGGCCCTCGCCCTTTTTTTAGATGGGTGTCAGCTCGGGCCTTCGGCCCTCGCCCTTCCATTTAGATGTGTGTCAGCTCGGGCCTTCGGCCCTCGCCCTCCCTTTTAGATGGATGTCAGCTCGGGCCTTCGGCCCTCGCCCTACCTTTTAGATGGGTGTCAGCTCGGGCCTTCGACCCTCACCCTCTCCCTTCCTTTTAGATGTGTGTCAGCTCGGGCCTTCGGCCCTCGCCCTCCATTTTAGATGGTTGTCAGCTCGGGCCTTCGGCCCTCGCCCTTTTTTTAGATGTGTGTAAGCTCGGGCCTTCGGCCCTCGCCCTCCCTTTTAGATGGTTGTCAGCTCGGGCCTTCGGCCCTCGCCCTTTTTTTAGATGGGTGTCAGCTCGGGCCTTCGGCCCTCGCCCTTCCATTTAGATGTGTGTCAGCTCGGGCCTTCGGCCCTCGCCCTCCCTTTTAGATGGATGTCAGCTCGGGCCTTCGGCCCTCGCCCTACCTTTTAGATGGGTGTCAGCTCGGGCCCCTATTCCTATAACGATTAAGTTGCATGCCTGGCCCCTATGCCTGGCCCCTATCATCCTTTCAAGTAGATCATCCTTCCACATAGACCCTTGTCTTTCTTTAATTCGGACTCATCCTTTCACTTAGAGTCACTTCGGACTCATCCTTCGACTTAGACCCTTGTCTTTCCTTTATTCGGACTCATCCTTTCACTTAGAGTCACTTCGGACTCATCCTTCCACATAGACCCTTGTCTTTCTTTTATTCGGACTCATCCTTTCACTTAGAGTCACTTCGGACTCATCCTTCGACTTAGACCCTTGTCTTTCTTTTATTCGGACTCATCCTTTCACTTAGAGTCAATTCGGACTCATCCTTCCTCTTAGAGTTTTTCGGGCCTTCGGCCCTCGTGTTTCTTTCATTCGGACTCATCCTTCCACTTTGATCCACTAAAAACAAAATTTTATAAAAGTTGAAGCAAAACTGCTTCGAAATCAAAAATTTGGAAAACTTGAAGCAAATTTGCTTCAAGTTTCGAAAATTCAAAACTCGAAGCAAATTTGCTTCAGGTTTCGAAAATTCAAACTCGTCGAAAATTTGCTTCAAGTTTCAAAAATTCGAAACTGAAGCAAAAATGTGAAGCAGAAGCATGCTTCTGCTTCGGATCCATAACAGGATCCAGCTTATCACCCCACAAAATTTTTCCCAATATACAAAATTCACCCCTAAGTTCTTCGCCGGTTTGCCCGGCATGGTCAGAGACGGAGAAAAATTTCTCCTCTCTTCCTTACATTTGACCTGTCAATCATTTTTCTTCCCTCTCTCCCATCATTCTCGGGTACTGTACTCAGCCCCACAAATTTTCGAAGCTCTGTACATTCGTCAAAATGTACCGAAAAAGTTCGAAAAAAATATTTTTATATCCAGCTCGATGAGAGCTTTCGATAGATATCTCATTTGCCCTATTTATACCCACTTTGAAAAAATATTTTTTTCGGCCGAGAATTTCAGCCGAAAAAAATCACTGAAATTTTTAAAAAATCATATCTCGCCCAAAGTAAACCTTTTTTATAAATTTTAAAATTCTATAAGATGCAGAAAATTCTGCTCTATCCAAGAAAAATACTGTCGGCCAGAACCGCCGGCAAAAATCCCGAAAAAATTTCGAAAAACCAAAAAAGTTTGGGTTTTTCGAAATCCGACCCTTACACCCCCAGTTTCGAATTTTTTCGAAATTTTTTAGGCTCAAAAAATTTCTAATTTTTTACTCTATTTTATAAAGCAAACCCCATCACATTCCGATAATCCCACAAAAAGTTATGATCCCCTAAAAAATCCCTCATATCCCCCAAAAGGGGTACCCCTTTTGAAAAATTCGAGGGGTCAAAAATTTTCGAATTTTGACCAAAAAATATCCTATATGGTGGAATGATATGCGCTAAATCCTATCAGGTGTCAGAAAAATTCTAAAAAATTTTTCAAAAAAGTTATAGTCCAAAAAATTTCGCGACATTTGCGAACATTGGCCATAACTTTTTCAGACTCAAACAGACCCCCGACATATTATACCTTTTTCGAAGCCCCTCATTATCCCCTTTTGAATGACTACTCATTCACCCATATCCACTTTAATCTCAAATCCCGAAAATCCCGGATTTCGTAGTTCGAACTCCGAACTTCGACTTTCGACATTATCCTATATCCCAATAAGCTCCCCTCATTATTTGCTCTTGAATGATTACTCATTCGACCGTACTTCCCAATCCCGAAAATCCCGGATTTCGAAGTTCGAACTCCGAACTTCGACTTTCAGCTTGATCCTTTATCCCACTAAGCTCCCCTCATTAACCCCTCTTGAATGTGTACTCATTCGACCCCACTTCCCAATCCCGAAAATACCGGATTTCGAAGTTCGAACTCCGAACTTCGACTTTAGGCTTAATCCCTTATCCCATTAGACTCCCCTCAGTCCCAGCTCTTGAATGACTACCCACTCACCCATATCCCCCAACCTCGTAAATCCCTGATTTCGAAGTTCGAACGCGAAACTTCGAATTTAGACTTTATCTTTTATCCCGATAGACTCCCCTGATAATCCCCTCTTGAATGACTACACACTTGCGAATATCCCCAAACCCCGAAAATCCCGGATTTCGAAGTTCGAACACCGAACTTCGAATTTCGACATTATCCCTTATCCCATTAGACTCCCCTCACTATCCCCTCTTGAATGACTATCCTCTTGCCCATATCCCCCACTCCCGAAAATACCGGATTTCGAAGTTCGACTTCGAAATTCGACTTTAATCCTTATCCTTTATCCCATTAGACTCCCCTCAGTTCCAGCTCTTGAATGACTACCCACTCACCCATATCCCCCAACCCCGAAAAACCCGGATTTCGAAGTTCGACTTCGAAATTCGACTTTAATCCTTATCCTTTATCCCATTAGACTCCCCTCAGTTCCAGCTCTTGAATGACTACCCACTCACCCATATCCCCCAACCCCGAAAAACCCGGATTTCGAAGTTCGAACTCCGAACTTCGACTTTTATACTTATCATTTATCCCATTCAACTCCCCTCATTATCCGCTTTCGAATGACTACTCATTCGACCATATTCGAAAATCCCTAAAAATCCCGAAATCCCGGATCCCTAATTTCGAATTCCCCCTTATTCCACTATCAATAAACCCTCCCTCAACTCGAAACTTGCTTAAGTTTCGAGATCCCACTATTTTAACTCGAAATTTCTCCTATCAATCAAAATTTCTCTCTCACCTATGAGATTTGCCTCCTGGCTTTCCTCAATTTAGAGAAATCCGACAATTATCGGTAAGACAATTTTCTTACAAAAATTTTTGCCCCCCTATAAGTACCCCTAAAGTTCGAATTTCGGATTTGAAATTTTTCCTACCCATATCTACCTATCCCAACTTAATTTCCTACCAGCAGAAGTTTTCCCATATCTTTATCCATTTTCGAGTTAGTTAAAAAAAAGCCGAATTTTAAATCCCGACACATGCGACAATTCACAGGAAATGTCTGAATTTTGTGTCAAGCATAAGTACCCTCCAAATTCGAATTTCGACTTCGAGTTTTTTCCTACATATATTAGCTTGGTCCAACTTAAAATCCTACCAGCAGAAATTTTCCTCTAAGTCCACTCAGTCCCGAGATAGCCCCGGCACCTATATTATTTAGGTACCATGGGGGTTCCAAAATCTTCCGTCCATAATTTTCCTAGGTGCGGCATAAAATTTGACCCCGGACATGTCAAACTTTCATGCCCGTATCTCAACTCTGTAAAGAGCTTTAATTTTTCCGACACTTTCTGCCAAAACTTTTATATAATATATTAAAAAATTTTAACAAGATGGATAAATTTTGGAAGGAAAATATTTTTGGTGAATTAAATTACAAAAAATATTTCAAATATTTTTTGATAATTACTTGTTCTTTAAATTCTGAAGAGGAAAATGGAGATTCTCTTTTTGGATTTATGAAATCAAAAATTAGAAAAGCAATGGAAATTTGGTCAAAAGAAAAAGAATTTACAGTTCATTTGGAAAATAAAACCGTAGAAACAAATTTAAAAGAAAATCTTTTGGAGTATAGAATTTTAAGTGGATATGAAGAAAAAGGGAGATGTAGAGTTGATGAGGAGTAAGTTTAATTTTATTAGAGACCCTGAAAGTTAAAATTGGAATGGCTGTGGGATGGGATTGTATGGATTGCGGGAACTTTTCAAATAATCGCACTTTTTCTCGCACTTTTCAAATAATTTCACTTTTCAATCACTAAACTAAAATATTTCAAGGCAAAGCCTCGCTTTCCCTAGAAAATTTTTTCTAAAATTTATTTTTAGTGAAAACCCAAGACAATGTTCTATATGGGTAGTTGGAATTAATTTTAGCAACAAAATTGATAATTGGGAAGTTGCTAAAAGGCTTATAAATATTGTTTATGTTCGATTTCAATGGTATACTAAAAATGAAGTAAAAATTCAAACAATACCGGTTCAATCAAAAAATCTACAAGAAAAGTAATTTCACATAAATATACATACTGTAAATCTTCTAATTCTATTTTTCTCTATTTTCAATCATTTCGTAACCTTATTATAATCATACCTTATAATAAGGTTCAATTGAATAGGGGTTATCGCTTAAGCAGCTCCCTTACCAAGAGACCTCTCTAAACAACACACACTTCTATACATATTACTTTATTTCTTACCTCCGCTTCGGAATCTGGATGTATCTGGATGTACAGAATCTGGATGTATCCTATTTTAATAGTTCAGCGAGTAATTTATTTGGGAAATCATTGGGAACATGTTAAAATGTATTAATTAATTTATTTATTATAGAATTAATTCTATATTTGAAGCAACAAATGAAATAATTAAAAAACCACTTTTTGTTTTGCCAGAAAATAAAGATAAAAAAATTAATTTAAATAATTCTAACTTCAATTCAATTCCAAAACGTTTAAAAGTTGAAGAAGAAAAGGATTTTGTTTATTTTAAATTTAATCCATTTGAGGTTTATAAAACGATTTTCAAGATTATGGGTTCCTTCTCTTTATGGGGAATTAAAATTTATATATTTTATACTCGAAACAATGCTCCCTTTAAAAGGAGCTTGGAAAGCTGTGTTGAGCAAGTAATGGTATTTTCTGTGAAAAATTCTGTGAAAATATTAAGTCCGTATTTAGTAGACGAAGCAAGTAACCTATCAACTGACATTTAACAGTTTTGCTTCAAAAAGTTAAAGGTCCTTTTTCCATCCACAATAAAGTTGAAGGGCATATTTAGAGGATGGGCTGGATGGGGCTATGAGAATCTCAAAATCGATCTCGGTAACCGAGATTTCTTTTGAGATCTCGCCTCGGTCCTATCTCTATAATTATAATTCGTTGAAATTCCTTGCGTTGCTAAAACGAATAACACCATTCTAGCCTAATTAGATAATTCTGGACCAAGTTTTGTCAGTCAAATAATTTTGGCCCATCTTTAAAAATAAAAATTAATTAAAAAATATTTTTTGAACAAAACAGACTAAGGATGATGAAAAATGTACAAATTTAGAAGAAGGAAAAAATATCGAGAAAAGCGAATCTAAATTAAGAAGACAAAACAAAGGAGTAGTAATATCTCCTTAATTAAAAAATTATCCAAAAATGTTCACTAAAATTTCTCCATTTAAAGCATTTATTTTATCCAAAAAATTTTTTTTATTAATTTATGTATTTTATTATTTATTTAAAATGCATTTTTTTAATTTACTTTTAATTTGTTCATTATTTTTTATTAAATTAAATGTGAATTATGTTATTTATAAATTATTTTTAGTGAATTCAATTTTAAAAATCTAAAAATATAATTTTAAAATTAATTTTATTTTTTTATTTCTAATTTATTAACTTAAAAAATGTCTTTAGGTTTTTTTAGGTTAAAAGGGCATTATTATCTGAAAAATAAAAATTAAATTATTATTTTAAATAAAAAAATTTTACTTTAATTAAATTCTATTAATATTTATTTATAGTCTTATACAGACACCCACACAAAATAACATATGTACCTGGGATGGATTTTCTTCCGCTTCCGGCTTTCATTTTTTTAAATCCAAAATTATCCATCCTTGATATTTACCAAGAATGGGACCTGCCACATTAATTTTTTAAATTAAAAATAAAATTTTATCAGAAAAAGTCATTCTTAGGTGTGTAAAAATTTCCTGACTTAGTCGGGAATTGACTTCGGGAGTCGGGATTGGGAATTTTCCCGAGTCGGGAGTCGAAATACCCGAGCCTCACTATGTTATATCTACCAGGGTACGGATCTGCTACACTTTAAAAGAGGATGACGGAAGGCTTCAGAAACTCGAACGAAATAAAAACGATAGACGAATCTCGGCAACAGAAAACAGCTTATTCCTGTTACACCTCTCAATTTTTTACACAAACTTTTCGGGTTTACTTCCATTCCCTCTTCTTCCAATTTACATATCCAAATAATTTATACACGTTTTGAGCTTATTATGCTAAGATCTTACAATTAGTATAATGTGCTTTGTTTCTATTTATCTTTTACTCATTTGCAAAATTTATTTAGCGTTAAAGATATAAAATTAGTATTCAAATAAATTGGTAGTTTGCGTGAGAAAATAAAATGGAGAAAAAACCCTGTAGTTTGTTTAATATTATTATTTAAATAAATATTTTTGTATAATTTTTTTGCTTTTGACATTAAAATTGTAACTTGATAAGTTTATTTTTTTGTTTTATAAAAATTTCCGATTTGTTCTGATTCTGTGTCTTAATTTTTCGGAAGATTCAGAGGCTATTAATTTCTATTGAGAGTGAGAGACTAACCTGTAAACGGTTTGTATAAATAGCTATTTATTGTGGAAAGATAATAGATTCAAAATTAAATTATAATGTAACGAAGTTATAAATTGCATATATTCTAAGATATTTTCAGTTACTAGATTCACGCAAAAAATTAGAAGAATTTAAAATTTTTTATTATTTTTATTAATCTATGCTATTCGTGAGATTTTCTTGATTTTTTTTACTGTATGTATTGAGGATCTAGACGACCCGATTACCGATAATTGGGGAATTCTCTACGCTTTTTGTGACTGGATCCAGATTTCCCGAAATCGGAAATTTATTTTTTATGTCAACTAGATCCCTGGTTGGTTCACTTCACTTCTCTATGAGACATACATACTATGTTTTATTCAGAGTTATCTTCTAGCAAAATTCCAAGAAAATCACACGATTATAAAACAAAAATCTTAAAATGAATATATGAGAGAAATATTTGCAAACTGTAAATTGCAAGAAAAAATTTATCTTGAGTTTTAAAACATTCTGTTTTATTTTATTAAAGATTTTGTTCATTTATTATTTATTATTTCTGAATTTAAACAATTAAAGAATTATTAAAAATTTTTTATTTAATTTTCACATTTTTAAATTAATATTTAATTGAAAAGCATGCTTAGAAACATTTTGAGTAATTAGAAATAATAAATTATTTAATTAATTTTTTATGAAAAATTTTTTTTTGTTTTCTTAAAATAAAGCCTAATAAAGCATTATTATTAACAACATTCTAAAGTATGGCTTTGAGTGTAAGGTTTTTCTAAAATAAAGTCTGACTTTCTTTCTATAAATTCAAAGTACTTCTGTTTAATTTTAAAATATAGGTTAAAATATAGTGTTTAATTTAAAATATAGTTAAATTATAGTTTTTAAAATATAGTCAGATCTCGAATATAAATTATAGAACGATTTCTGGAGAGTTGTATGAGAATTGTACGGTATATCTCGAAAAACCGTGATCTTTTTCGAGATCTCGTCTCAGCATGTTCCCTATTTCTGCAGCTACAAGGTATCATATTTTAAAATGAGATAAAATTGAGTGTATTGCTTAGCAACTCCACTTAAGTTGGCTAATCTAATTCTAACAGACGTTTATATGATAGAGGTGTGTCCATTATTTCGAGGATATTAGAGTGATCATCTATGAATGTGCTGGGGCGCTATTCGTTTTTCAAATATTTGATTTTTTGATCGCGATATTTTCGCATTTTCCCTGAAAATCTCTTTAAAATTTTTTTCCTAAAAAATTTTTTTGTTGCCATTTAAATATCTTTTGTATTTATAAAAAAAAATTAAAGAAAATCATAAGCTAAATTTTGCCATTTATAGAATTATTGTTTTATTCCCAGTATGTTTTCGTGTCTTGCATGTTAACAAAGAAACTTTACTATAAAAAATTATTATTCTAAAATATTATAAGAAAATTTTATTCTTTGTTTGATTTAAATAAAATACTACAAAATTTATTTTAATATTTAAAAATATTTTCTTTGTTCAAATTTTATAAATATTTCCTTTATTTTACTAATTTAATAATTTAATTAAATTATTTTTTAAATATTTCTAAAATATTTAAATAATTATTTTAATATTTTTATCAATTAATTTTTAACTAACTTTATAGCTAAAAATATTGAAAATTTTAAATTATATTTAAAATATTTTATAATGTTTTCTGTATATATTGCGCGGGTTTTATTAGTTTTTTCGACATTTCTGCTTGGATTACAGATCCTCACACTTCCGGTTATTTTTATTTTATGTAATTTAAAATTATAATAATACGATGGCCGATCTTAAATGAGGTACTCTCCCTCATCTTCTCCTTCTCCCACAGATTTGCAATAAACTTAGACTAAAATGAGAGATTTTTTGGAACCTTGGAAATTTATCTATAAATATTTTTATAATTTTAGTTATTTATAATCCACAAAGAATACAGAAGTATGATTTGCTATAGACAAATGGTTTCAATTGGAATGTTTGAAAGTTGTATTTTACTATTGGATGTTCTTTTTAGTTTTGCGACATGTTTTGATATTAATTATTTTCTTTTATTTGAGAGGGTAAATTTAATAATAAAGATTAGTAAACTTAAGTAGGACGGACCTCGCTATAAGAAATAGATAATCTCTATTTAAGAGATGTTTATAATTTAGCTTGTTTGTGGGTAGTTTTTTTGTCTCCTGCTCCAACCTCTATGAAGCCTAATTTCAAAATCTTAGCCTCCTCTCTGGAGCTAGTCTCTGAGAGATTCTAATTTAGTAAATAATTTAACAGATTTGTGGAAGTATATATGCAGCATCTTTCATGTTATTAATCTTTCAACAAGCCTGTCTGGCGGCTAACCGTTTAATTGTAGTAATTAAAACATAT